ATTAAACCTGTGACTGAGTATGATGACGTACTGTAACGATTACAGTGAATCTTTCTTTCAGGCTAGCCACAAGACAAACACAAACTAACCAAAGGAATGCGTATATACTTAACACACACAAATAAGGGTTTCCGCAAAAGTCATTTACAAGAAATAACGTCTGCTGAAAATGATCTGATTTTCAAAGAATTACGCCTAATTGTTGTAATGTCTCTGTGAGGTGAAATCAAAGTGAAATTCCAGTTAACGCATCTTGGAATTGAGAGCTCTCTGCAATGTGCTCGCAGATGTGTCTTCTGGCCAGGAATGAACACAAAATTGAAACTCTTCATTATCAGGTGTGAAGTATGCTAAACGTACGCACAAACTAGCAAACAGAAACCATTTCATTTCATCGAGAACCAGGCTATCCATGGAAACGGCTTGGATGCGACATGTTCGAATTCAAGAGAAAGAATATTTTAATTACGGTCAATTATTACAGCAACATTTAGTAAGTGGACACAGTCAAAGCGATGGCCGCGAACCAAGTAATGCTGAAAATAAGGACTCAGCTTGCAATGTAATGGGTACCGAGAATGCTGATAAGCGACAATGACCTGCCATTCACAAGCAAAGAATTCAAAAACTTCACGAACCTGCAAGTGGAAACGCTGAATCAGCCGGCACGAGGGCGAAAATGCTCGCTAAAAAGTACATGAAAGCCACTCAGACCCACAAATGGCATTTGTTGATTAACGAAACACACCGCTGCAAGCACAGAATGATCGTCCAGCACAAGTGTCAATGAGTTGCCAAACTAAAATGACTGTACCAAGAGCTTCACAGCTACTGCAATCCAAAACAGTCGATGTGAGTGAAATAAGAATGCAGAAAAGGTGAAAAATAATGACCCTCACAGACAAGCGAAGGACTCACCAAGCACAAGAAAATATCAGTGATGTTCCAGTTAAATCAATAAAAACAGGAGCATGGGTAAAACAAAATAGTTAGGAGAACACATGGCGGGTAGTATGAAGTTCAGAAGGAAGATAGCATCCTGAGAAGGCATGGAGTATTAATCAGGGCAAGCCCTTCTTCAGAGCAATACATTGAAGTCGGTTAGCCAATTAGAGATACAGATCAACCGAAGCGGACTGAAACTTCTGCCGGACCTCGAAGAACCACATATCCTCTAAAGAGGCTCAATGATTTCACAGTAGATTGAAGGATTGACTTCAAAAAAGGATGGATATAACAAGCAAAATACACAGATGACGCATTATCATTTTCACCGTCTTACACAAGCCACACGATCCTTTGGAAATCGCCACTTCCTGTTTCTCTGAAAAGGCTCTGGGTTCGCGCTAGTTGGCACTTACCCATAACTTTTGTAAGTTCTAAATGCACGTAAGTAAGACGAGCGAATCGGTTGTCCTGTGTCTTTCACTCGTCTAGCATACGTGCGCTTAGTGCTTACAAATGTTATGGTTCCTCCTTCTCCGTTCATTTTCACCTCCTCCTTTTTTCCGAGCTCACGAAGTATCAAGTGCCTGCCCCTCTGACTCGGCTCGTGGACCACTCACCTACCTGAAATGTTCTCTCTTGATTGTCTGCATTCCTGCCTCCATGTAGCCTATTCTTGCACTTGAACGCTTATTTACCTCGGCGAACTCCCATTAAAGAGACCCTGAAATGGTTTTTTTTCAAGTTTTGTCAGCGTTTGGGCTAGAGCATTATAAAACCATTTACACCAAAAATTTAGAGATACGCCTTGTACCAAGGCCGCTACGGTCAACTTTACTATACCCTCCTTCTCACCTATGCCTGGCTTCCTCAACTCACGAGGCACGCTGGCGATTGCAGAGCTCTCATGAACGCACTCCACGTTATGAGCTTTTACTAGTCTAGACATCCGAGATGGCACACCGACAGGTTGCGTGCAGTCTCGGAGGCCATCACATGGTGCGCACGACAGCACGCACGTCGTCTGGCAAGATAAACAAAGGCTACGAAGTGGTTGATGTCTGCTCTGACGGGTGCCGCCACCATACCAGCTCGTCTTACCTCTACGCATTCTACAGCCTATGACAGCCAATCAGATGAGCAGCCCCATTGACGAGGCTGCTGACGTGCTCTGGCCAGAGCATGTCGCTCTGTGAATGGGCAGTTGAAAACACATTCGGCCGAGTTGCAATGATCTGCACCGATCTGCTGGGAAAGTGTTGACAATCTGTGGTGTACTCGTCAACGCTGTTCTTCACCGCTAATGCTAAAGTAGGCTACGTCAGTGGAGCAAACCAGAAGCCCTCTAGACACGAGTTTGTAAAGCATGAAACCGCCCATACATTTTTTTCTAAGACACCTACTACAAGTCAGCCGTAAACAAGCTTCTATTCTTCTCTATCTACTGCGAACACACGCGCTCTTTATAGCTTTGAGTTATTCTACAACCCTAAATATCAAGTCACCGGCAATATCGATCTCGTGCTCCAGAATCATCGTCCTATCTTTATCTTCGCGATCAACGAAATTATAATCAGCCTCAAATCCGCCTCAGTGAAACAGTGGCTATGGTCCTCGGCTGCTGAGTCAAAGGTCACGGGTTCAAACCCATCCGCGGCGGGCCCATTCAGAGGGAGGCAAAACAGTAAAGGCCCGTGTACTGTGTGATGTCAGTGAACTTAAAAAACACCAGATGGTCAAAATTTCAGAAGCCTTCCACTACGGCGTCCCTCACAATGATTTGAGGAGTAGATTTGTGGTATTATTGTTATTATTAATATTAGTCAGCATCGAGATCCGGTGGCTTAGCCAGAAAGTGTCAAACTGGCATGTGCCCCCCTCCCTCAAAAAATTTGCAAGGGCGTGTACGTTGTACTCCTCTGTGATTGATTTGTTCTTTCTGCTAAGCCATCGTTTACCTTCTGTAACTTAGCTTTATTTGCAACCGTTCCCAGGCGTAGAGCACTGTGAAAGGGGCGCTGAAACATTTTTTTTTCAGCATGGGCAGGAAATGCTGCCGATCAATGGTCGACGCTTCCCAGAACACGTGAGCCAAACATCATGGTGTAACACGTGGCCTAGAACTTCTAATAATTTTCAATGTGAGCTAGAAATTAATATATATTGTCTGGGTATTATGTACTAAAACCACGTGATGATTATGAAACACACCGTAGTGAAGAGCTTCAGAAATTCAGAACATCTGGTAGTCTTTAAGGTGCTCTGCGGAGAAGAGTACACAGGCCTCTAACATTACGCCTCCATCGAATTGCGACCGCCATGACCGGGATCGAATCCGCGAGCAGCCGAGCACTGCAGCCGCTGTTCCACCGAGGTGAAACTATAAACTGTTTCCCCTTATTTCTGCAAACGATGTCATGACCAAATGACCGCTCCATTAGACGCTGCCCCTCCGGCTGCACTAGCTTCACAGCGTTCGGAACCGACTTCGAGTATTTGCAGCACGTTTTTGTTCTCGCGTGAAAGTGAGGTTAAAGTCCCTATATTTTCTCTTTTAGAAAGAACAGGGGGAAATCTAGGGGCTCTTGGTGAGGTGTACTCCAGCGAGGCTATATGTACAAAAACAGCGCTTCCTTTGTTTTTTTTTTCCACGACACAGGAATGAACATCAAAGAGAAAGGAAAGACATGTATGTAACCAGCCTAGAAAAACTGGAATGCACTGGGGAGAAGGAATGACGTGTTTCAAAGAGAGACAGAAAGGGTGTGAATATTCGTGCACTCGCACACCTCATAGCAATGAACATGTTTGTCAAGAGCAAGAAAGCGAGAAAGCAAGGAAGTAGAGGGGGCACAACAGATGCTGTACAGTGCATGTTACAGCGAAAGCTGTTATGAGATCCCCACTCAGGCCACGCGCGACGAGATCAAACGTGGGGCACGCAGCGGCGGACGCCGCTGCGACATCGCGCAAAATTAGAAAAAAAAACTTCGCATCAGTGGCACAGTAGGCCCGACTTCGGGTTAACTGGGTGCCAGCCCAGTATTTTACCACTTAGCCCCACCGGTGCTAGGGACTTGTTGGCAAACTTGCCTTAGCTGGCTTGATGTCGGGAAAGCAATCACGCCAATAGACTTATAAAGCTTTCTAAAACAGCGAAAAAACAACCAGTCGTCGCACAATGCAAATAGCGTATCGAGTGGGTCGCCCAATGCTCCAACAAATTACAAAAGCTTGTTTTTGTTCCCCTGTTAACTGTGGCGCATACGCACTCTAGCAATAATTCTTCGTGGTCGTCAGCCACTGCATGAACAACTGGCATAAAATTCCTTGCAAGTGTTTAGTGGATACCACACTTCTCAAAAGAATGACGGAAAATGGCATAGCAAATGCCGGCCTACTACCCAAAAAGTTTTATTACTAATGCCCTAGTGGGTATCAAGCAAGAGTGCTTGTAGTATTGCAGTAGTTACCCAACGAGTGTGTTTAAAGGCCGTTTTTCTAAATTTCACTGTGTCTGTGCTGCCCGTTCCGCGAAGGCCTGGAGTTTTTTTTTTCTTCCTACTTCCTCACTGGCTTGCCTTCTTGCTCTGTGCAAACATGTTGATTTCAAATCACGAACTAACCCAAGCATCCGCTTTATCATAGTCATAATCTTCAGGAGTTTGAACACTGCCTTCTTTGCCTTCAGCCGCCGTGACCTTCTATATAAGATGGCATTCTCAAATGATTTTTGCACAATCCATAAAACCTATAATATACATTGGAGAAAGCAGGCTATAGATACGTTCTTAGACGGTAGCACTGGGGTTATGATATCTACAATTTTCAATTATCGCAATATAAAAAAAGGAAATTTTTCAGCAATATCAGAAACTACATGTGTCGTGTTTTGTTTTTTTTTTTTTTTTTTGTTCACGGGATGGGACGCTTTCTCCCATTTTCCACGCGTGTTTTCGTCGCGAAGAGGACGAAGGTAGCGAAATCGCGTGCGCACCATCGGGCCCCATGGACGGTGGCGTTTTGACCGCACGGTAAGCACAGACACCGCAACAATGTTCGTTACAGATGAGCGGTCGGCGTCCACGGTTGACGTGGGCGACATCTTCGGCAATGATTTCGTGGTGGAAAGCGTGTTCGATTGCCTGAGCACCGAGGACCTCTTCTCGTGTGCGGAGGTCAACCGGCTGTGGCAGGCGGCTGCCCTGTCTCGGCTGAGGAAGAGGCTCATATCGGTGTCCGTCTGTTGTTCTCCGGTGAGTCATTGTCTGCTCAGACACCTACCTGCCTGGCTGTTAACGCTTCCTTCACTCAAGCAACCACAGGTCAGCCAGCGTCAGCCAGCGAAAAAAAAATAATCCGGCCACTGTATGCTTTAACCAGGAAGTGTACACAGCTAGATAAAGTAACGCTTCAGTAATTCACGTATAAAGTTATTATTCGCGAGGGTATACCTATTTTTCAAATAATATCTGTCTAGTAGTCATGATCTTGATCTCCTGTAGCTGGTATGGGGTCCAGAAAAACGTCCCCCTCTACCGAGTGTAAGATAGCAGCTTTGCGAATATTTTTGCGCTTACGAAAATGAAGCGTCAGTCTCATCCCTTTTTCTGTTTTTAAGTTCTTCCTGAATCCTTGTAAGCCTTCAAAATTGCATGTATTAACACTAAATAATGTAGCGCCTGTTTTCGTGAAGAATCGCTGTGTTGATATCAACGCAGTGGGCAGAAAAATTTGCCGAATCAGTGGGCATAACTTCGAACTACTGTTTGAGCAAAAGCCGCTTGTGAGCATCAGTTAACAACGAACCTACAGAAAGATAGCGAAGAAATTGTGTTAGAAAAACTGGCCAGCATATATAAGAACTGTTTCTTCCCGGGGTGGGTACCAAACTCTTGGGATAATTTTAACATCATCTTAATCAAAAAGAAAGGGCACATGAAGGGCTTGAAACACTACAGGCCGATCGCCTCCCTGTCCGTTATCCACAAACTATTCACAAAAATATTAGCTAATAGAATCAAGGCTACATTAGGGTTCAATCTACTCAAAGTCCTAGCAGGATTTCGCACAGGCTACTCCACAATAGACCTTATTTATACTATCAATCAGGTAATAGAGAAATGCGCAAAATACAACCAACCCTTATACATAGCATTCATAGATTACGAGAAGGCATTTGACTAACTCGAGATATGAGCAGTAATGCAGGCAGCACGGACTAAGGGCATCGACGAATTTGCATAAACATACTAGAACAAATCTACCGTGTCCACAGCCACAGTTCTCCATAAAGAAAGCAACAAAACACCAAGAAAGAAGGGTGTACACCCTTCTTTCTTGGTGTTTTGTACGGCAAGGAGACACGATTTTTGCAATGCAATTCAACGCATGTTTACAGGAGGTTTTAAAACAAGGCCCTAGATTGAGAATAATTAGGGAAGAATGAGGCACATGAATCAATAGATATCTTAGTAACCTGCAGTTTGCTGATAACATTTTCTTTATCAGTAACTCAGGGGACAAAAACAGCTCATGATTACTGAACTGGGCAAGGAAAGCAGAAGAGTAGGTCTGAAAGTTATCATGCATAAAACTAAACTAATGTTCCACAGTCGTGCAAGAAAACAGAGCTTTTCGACATAGGTGGAGATATTGGCAGATTTCAGCATCGTGAGCTACAACATAACAACGGCCACCACGGGATGCATCGCCATGCTTGCACAGTACTGACTAGTCGCACAAAGTATAGAATACTCAATACTGTACTCATTAGTAGCACAAAGTGTACTCATTATTCACACTAGGTATAAAATTGCGCACTGTACTAGCGATCACGTCGAAAGTAAGCCGCGCATTAGCCTTTTGGCTTCACTCGTGGCTTCCCTGCGTAGCGTACCCCACGCTCTGTGGTAGGAAACAGAAAAAGGCGTTTAAAACATATCCATATACAAATCCCTGTAACTCCACTCGTGTGTGGTGGATTCTAAAACTTTGTGCGGCACTTTATACAGGAGGCAATCAACTGCTTTGGAGACGTCATTTGATGACCAGTTAAAAAAGTGCTGCAGAGTTTCTTACGTACTGCTGCCAGCATATATATATATATATATATATATATATATATATATATATATATATATATATATATATATATATATATATATATATATATATATATATATATATATATGCAGCTTTTCAGCTGCTGTACCACTTGTTACATGATCATAGAAGATGGCAAGCTTTGGGCTGGGCGGAGTCCGCGAGTCGCGACGTTTGTGTATTTTTCTATTTTACTCACGATCTGACCTTTTTTTTTTTCTCGACGCTTGCTGTAACATCTCAGTTGGACAGTGTTCGTAAAACAGCTTCACTAACTTAAAACGTGCTGAGCTGTGAAGCAGCGGTGCTTTCTTTAGTAACACGTTAATAGCAGTTGCTGTAGATAGCGTTGCAGGCAGCGTCCATCGCCGAAAGAGAACTTTTCCTGAGCGAACACGTCGTTTCATTTGGCACTCGCTTTACTATGACGGGTTATGACGACAGCAGATGCCGAGAGCCCGAGCACATAAGATGTTTCGCACCTAAAGGTAAAGATTAAGAAGGAAAGTGGTCCCGCTACGCGTTGTCCCTTCAGGCTCGGAACCATCAGTGTGAATCCGCCTTAATTTTGGCGACTGCTGTCGAGTGACTCCAAAATCAGGCAGCGAGTGATTCATCCAAAGCCGCCGAATTGCGTCCATTCGCGACTGATTCAGCCACACACCGAGTCGCATGTGTTAACTAGCCTTTATTGTTGCCACTTGCCCGCTCCTATATTGTTTTCTGCGACAAGCAAGAGGGCTGTGTGTGTGGTGGTGCGTACAGGACACGGAGCATCTGATCGAGGAGCCGGTACCGAACAGGCTTCACGCATGCGTCGAAATCCTGTGCTCAAAGTTCGCTCGCTACCGGAACATCGCACGCCTGGCCGGCATGCGGCCATCGCTGGTGTTTCTTTCTTACCACGCCGACCTGAGCGAGGACCCGCGTGGTAAGTCGGCGCTGTCTATCAACTGCCACTGGGAGCTTCCACATGAAAATAACGCAAATCTCATTCTTGGAAATATAAATAGGCGATACCATTTATTCATTTTACAGCAGCAAAAGAAACATATGGAAGAAAAAATAAACCTAAAGAAACCCTAACGCAACACTTAGGCCTCTCTGAGTGGTATTCGCACCGGTTAAGTTATGAAAGAATGTGACTTCAACGTGCCAGATATTCGCCGTTTTTGGGCGTCGTGAATCAGTCCGATGAATTTCTGAGATGCGATTGCTAGTTACACGAAGTTCTGCTATTTTATGACTTCAGTTTTAACTTATGACACACCTGATTTTCATTATATCACATAGAATCCTTAGTTTAACCCCTTCCATGCCTTCTATATACGTTTTTATTTTGATCAAGTCTTTCAAACAACGCAAACCAGTGCTGGACAGAGTGATCTGAAAGATGGCAAAGATTGTCGCTTAGAGCTCTTGAAACAAAGAAGAAAAAAATCATGGCATATTCACAGAGTGAATGCTGATGAGTGGGGCGAAGCGTCCGTCCGTCTAAAAGGACTGGTTTTGGCCGAGTTGATGGTTACTAAGTGCAGATGACCGAGGCGCAAAAACACCTGGCGTCTTTCGTTAAGCAGCTGGCGTCTTTTCGTTTTGCTTTAGAAAAATCTGGCGTCTTTTCGTTTTGCTTTTAGAAAACATCTGGCGTCTTTCGCTGGTTTTTATCATCAATCAACGGCGTTTTGAACATTAATCACGGAGGTAAACAATGGCTGCTACTGGGAATGGGAGACAGCAGAAGTCGGCTTTTAGGTAACACTTACACTTCTACTTCTACTAACGTTTCCTACTGGAACATGCCAATGGCTGCTAATGGGGAATGAGAAACAGAAGAATTCGGCTTTTAGTTGACGCGCACGCTGCGAATTTTTTTTATTGTTCAACAACGCACAGGAGAAATTTCCCACCGGCACCACCTTGCAGGTCAAAGCGTAAAACTGGTTACATACTACGACGGGACGCGGGACGAACGGGTGCCGCTATAAGGAGCTTCGCCCCTAAAAGAAACCCCACAGACCAAGCGCCGCTTGTATATTTATGTGACTCTGAAACTTGACTGCCGTTACGTCAGTCGCACGATAATGACTTCAAATAACTGGTACCGCATTGACATAAAACTTACAGAAACTTCCGGTCGAGTGGTTCTCAGCCATGAATGTTCCGGGAACCCCTCGTGCACTAGTGTAAGTGATGACAGACCCCTCGTGGAGTGGTGGAAGGCATGACGAACCCCTTGCAGAGAGAGAAAGGGAGCCGGAGTTCATGCACTATACATGCAGCGTGAAATAGGTGCCTTTACTCACAGTGAAAGCTGTTATGAGATCACAAAGGTCGCGTGTGCCGTAGGCGTCCGCCACCACCGCCAACGGTGTCCGTACAACCACTGTCGCACGAAATAGAAAAAGAACTATGTAATAAAAAACACCAAGGACACAATGCGATGGAAACCCACTTGTGTCAGCACAGTTTTCGACCACACAGCCACACCGTTGCTGAAGACTCCATTGCAAACTGGCCTTAGGCAGGCTGAATGCCGTTAAAGGAATCATGGTAATATGAGTAATAGAGCGTTTTAAAACAGCGCAGACACAAAGCATCAAACAATGCGAGTTGCTTAACGGGTGGTTCGTCGAATGGTCCAACCTACTACAAAGCTTGAAGCGTAATTCTTCATCCTCATCAGCCACAGCATCAAGAAATTGCACAAAATGTTTAGCAAGTCTGTAGCGGGTACTACGCAGAGGGACGAAAGATGGCATAGTGAATTCCTTAATACTACAAAAAGTCACGACGGTTAATGGTGAAGTGGGTACCCTGCAAGTGTGCTACTAGCAGATACCCAAAGAGTGTTTAAAAAAGCTCCGAAACATCACTCTTCTAGCTTTCTCTGTGACTCTGCTGTGTGTTCCGCCAGAGCTGGTGGTTTTTTCTCCCTGGCAAGAAATGGCAAGTGCGACGCCAATTTTGATATCAACAACATGCTAACAAGTTCTGCATTCTGCAGCTACCTTAAACCAGTATGTAGCTTGGCTTGCTCTTCAAATATACAAGCCCGGAAAAAGCATGCTAGCGGGTATGTGCCGAAGAAAACCGTAATAAGAGCTTCGGTCATCTCATGGAGATGGGTAAACACAAGTCATTTCTACTGCAATACGTATATGTCATGCATCAAAAATACCAAAAATCAAAAGGAGCTGCCGTCACGGATCATAGTGTGCCTCCAAAAGCATGCTTTTTCTCTATCTCTTTTTTTTCTCTGTCTGTTTTTCAAGGTTGTTATTAGGGTACCCCAAAAATGGTTTTACCTAATTTCGCGGACACCGTAGCATCTGGGGATTCTAGTTTGTGAACTACTGGCCTGGATAAAAGCTGAGTATCTCTGAGGATTTTCCTTCTCTGGCACAATGCACCTTGAAAGCACTTACCCGAGTTTCGGCTCTTGAGCTACACCATGCGCATGCATCGGAAGAAAATAATGGACACGTAGCTGTATAGGCAAGGATCGAACGATCCACCTTGACCTTTTTTGCGACAGCGGAACACTAATGCACCACTTTTCCTTCTGCAGGAACCATTTTCACCCACATCGTCAGTTGTAGGTATATTGTGGTTTAGGCAACGCTGTGTCACCAATGTTTCACCTGTCTTTTTAATAGCTTGATTATTTTGTTACCGCACTTTCAAAAGGCGGAAGTAGTGTTACAACGGTGTTTATATTCGATCAATTTTCTCTCATAGCTTTTAAATATTTTCCTTTTCTGAAAGAAAGAACCCACCACTCATAATTCCAAATAGTTTTCAGTTTTCTGGTCTTTCAGAGAAGTCATTTTAGGTTCCAGTGGTCTCGTATTTTTTTTTTTTTTTTTGGCGCAATACCTTGACTGATAAGTTTATCGGAGCAACTTTCTGCGAAACTGTCAAATTCATCTTTCGGCGTAGTTTTGCATATTAGTGCGCGAAAACAAATTTTAAATCATATAATTCTCGAAAAGTAGGCGCATACTTTGGGACTACAGCCGCACACGACAATTTTGATAACCAATGCAAGGACAAATAAATAGAGGGGAAAAACCGGTTCAAGAATGCGGCGAAGTAAGTTCTACAGAAACAGACTATAGCGTTATGAAGGCTCGCAAGGGGCGTGGTTGCAGTGGGTGTTCTATTGGTAGAAATGAGGTCCGCGCAGCTTTGCTCTTCACACCTTTAGAAGTGACAGTCAGCGGTGCCACTTGCTTCGGCCGTTTAATCCCAAATATTTGTTGATGACATCGCGAGATGGTGCCCTCATGAGACAGTGGGCCAGTGTTTTCCCACTTATAAAACACTCTCATGAGTCGGTGGCACATATTTCTCCCACTTTTTTCAGTTTTCTTTCTGCTTAATTTCGATGACCTTTGTTTCATACTATTTTTGTAGTTTATATCAATATACCACAGCCAGTTTTGTATGGCATCGTGTGAAAAAAAAATGTAAGTGAAACCTACAGAAAGTTAAGAGACCATAGCGCTGCCTAATGAAACGAATAGAAAATGCCCCGTGACTTCGTATACTTGATTCCTTGTTAAAAGCATTTTCTAATGTCACTCTTGACGAACAATACGAACCGCCCATACTTGAGGTGATCTATAATATATACAGAGAGTTTTGAAGAAATGTTACCACTAGCAATGAAAAATTACAGAAAGAAAAATTTACGTGCTACTTGCGGCGTCCTTTGGCATCCTCATATGCGTGCAAACTTTATTTACAGTATAATTATAAAAATTACCACTATTCTTTTGCAAGCTATGGAAATGGGCAGTCTATTAAAAGGGCCAAATTCACGACTTTACTGCAAATAGTCCACAGCCACTTTAAATTTTTCCAAAGGTGGCCACTGTTATTCACTGCCCCGTGAAATCTGGGTAATTTAGAAAGCGAAACCGAAACCAACGCAGCGAACAGTGCCTCTACCATTGACTTTGAAAACGTGCTCCATGACGACACTATTTTCACCACTTTAATGTGGAATTATTTCTTGAAACACCTTGTACAGTTTTTTTTTTTTTTTCGCGTTTCTCCTCGATAGTTTCATTGACTCGCAAAATGTCATACCAACGGCAAGCAGTGAAAAATACATAGGCCATGTAATGTTATTTTTTAACTAGATTTGCCGCCACGCTTTCAAATTTACACCGTATACAAAACTGTACACACACTGTATACATACGTTTATGCAACAAAGACCAGCGATGATATATTTTTTACGTGATAATCATGAAGGATTGGCTGTTTTTTGCAGTAACCGGCGGCCCGCAAAAGTGTATACGTTGACAACGTCTTACCATAAACTTCCTTCTTCACCTCCAAAACATCTCCTAAACCTTCCCCCTAAATAAAATCAGCTGTTACTTTCTTTTCTTGTAATCTATTGGTAAGCACACCACTTGACGATCTGGTCATTCAAAAGGCTATTTTCTATTGTTATCTGAGAAACAAAAATAGCAGTGCAAGCACGAAATCTTTTTCAGAAATTTTGTATAAACAAACAGAACAAAATCGCGGTACCATGAAAGCCCTCTTTTAAAAGGTCTATATGCCCTTTAAGGGAGCACATACTTTCGTGCATGCAGGCATTATGGTCCCACGAATGTGGTGGACGAAGGTCTGTCACTATAATATCTAGGATGTTTGTTTTTACCTGCTACCGAACGCTCTAAGCCTGGGGTCGACAAACTTTTGAGACGACGAGCCAAGTTTGTATTAAGCTGGCCTTGTGGGACCCAGATGACAAACCAGACGAGGGGGGGTGGCTTTGCAGGCAAAAAATTTCGACGACGAATTGAAAAGAATGTACAAAATCGGAATAAAATTTCTTTCTGCATGCATGTCATAAGGTAGCAATTCACACACATGGGTGCAAACGGAAAACCCATTTTATGTCAAAAC